AAAAAGAAACAAGTCATATTCTCTTCAGGCCCAACTCTAAATTTTAAAGAATGCCAATGTTGCCTTTGGTAGAGATGTAGATCACACTTCTCTCTCTTTTCCTTTTCTTCTCTCACCTCTTGCTTTTTTTTTCTCCTGCATAGAGCATCACCATCCAGGAACCAAGGCTTTCCAGCCACCTGAGTCTGACAAATCCTCTCCAACTCCAGATAAATTAGTGCAGTGAGGCCAAGGGGGTTATATTTTAATCCTGTATGAGCTGAGTACCTTCATGAATCTTTCTCTATCTGTACTACCTACCTTCCAGATGCACTATCCAGGAGTTTGATCACTGTTACAGAGAAGCAAGAGTCTTTAGAATAAAACACCTGGCCTCACTATCTACCACCCACTTGGCAAGTGATTTAATCTGTCTGGTTTTAATTTCCTAATCTCTATGGTAGATGAGGACAATAGTTCCTATCTACTATAGTTATTTTAAGAATTAAACTAAGATAAGATAAAGCATTTAGCACAATTCCTTGCCATGGTTATAACCCAACAAATGTTGGCTGAGGTTAGTATTATTATTGGATCATGTCTTCAGACTTGTGCCAAGAAGTTCCTACCATCTAGGAACATAGAAGGGCATTTCATTACAATGAGTATGGCATCAACAATCCCCTGGGACAGACATATAAAATTCCAAACAATGGAAATGTTTCATTGTAAAGATTAAAAAGTTCAACCTGGCTGTTAAGGATCAAAAGATTTCTTTAGATGAGAGAGATGTTTTGGGACAGGGTCTTCTGCCAAATCTTTAAATTTCACCAGAGTGCCCACTAACTCAGAATGTAAGTATTCCTCTTCCTAAACTGGTTCTTTTTTTTTTTTTTTCCTTTCTGTGTATGGAAATACCAGATAAAAATGAATTCCAGAACAATGGAAATTCAAGATGAGAAATGGTTCAGCAAATTTGACCAGGCCTCCTCATAGGATCGCCCCAGTCCTTCTGGGATACGTTCTGACAACTTGCCGGCCTCTTTTTTCAGCTTTCTGAAAGGGGCTGATGTTCCCGCCACTTCTCTTGGAAGAATATTCCACAGTGAAATATGACTCACTGTCAGGGCCCTTGCCTTTGAGATTCCCTTTCTTCTCTTGACCCACTTTCCTCTTGCTGTGCCCTTTTGTACAAAGTCAAACCAAGCCTCCCCTTGAGGAGGGAGCTCTGTGAGGACTGACATTTAAAGACCATTACCACCTCTTAAACTCGGCCCTGTTCATTTAGCCAAGCAAAGCATGTTTAATTCTTTTAATCTTCTCTCATAAATCAATCTCTTCGTTCCCTTAATAGTCCTTCTCCTGTGCTTTGAACTCCCTCCAGTCTGGCAGTCCTGAGCTCTTGTTGCGTTTACACTTGAGAATTACCAGTCTATCAGGAAATTACAGTGTAGGAAAAACCACCAGGCCCCGGCGGGGTTCTGAGCCCTCTCACCATGCTGGGCTGCTAGCTGTCAAAATGCCTTGTGGGCCCTGTGAAGAGTCCCTCTTCCACAGTACAAGCCCACCTTACCTGGTCAATGCAAGATCTCCACGCCAACCCTGCATATCTTAAAGATGGGCTTAAGGCATTTGCTATCTACTCTATAATGGACCTATCTGCCATGTCTGGGCAATGGCCCTGAGGTATGTATGAAGAGCCATGTCAGACACTTGCCCTTCTCCTTTGACTCTGACTCTTCAGTATGTCCATCTTCCACTTGGCTTCTACCTACCAGGGCTAGGAAGGCCATTGGATAAGCCTATCAGAGGTCCTACCTGGAAGCTTCCAGCATGGTCTTCTTCCTTATCACCCTCTCTGTTCTCTTTAAGGGCGATTAACGTGAATCCTCTGAAGTAGGAAGGAGGAGCAGCCGAAAGTGTCACTGTGGAAAAAGAAGAAAACATAAGGCTCAACTATTCCCCCTTTGACAAATTGGATGGGTGTGAAAACTCCATCTACATCCCAGGCCAGAAGGTCAGATGGGAAGTCACTTCTCTTACAGAAGAGAGAAATTTATCTCTTTCCACCATCTCCCTCTTACATTCCAGAAACTACTAAAAATGCCTGAAATGTATTCTCACTTGAGAATCCTTAAATTGTTCAAGGTTGTGGTAAACTCAATCCCCAGTCACCACAATTTGATAAAGGCAGTCCCTGTTAGATCCTTCAATCTTGACAGCTTATGTTATACTTCCATTAGATTTGCCCAAGGGGAGTCTAGCATGTATTCTTGTAAGGGCATCCTTTGTGGTAGAGACTGATGTGTATTCTCCAGCGCTCATTTTCTTTTTCTGTGGGCGCCCAGCTAGACCACATTTCCCAGCCTCCCTTGTCCACGGTTATGCTCATGCCCAGGGTCTGCCAGTATGTAAACCATGACACATGCCATTTTCAAGACTGGCCCTTAGTAATGTTCCATGTATTCTTTGATCTCCTTCTCTCTCTGTCTGATGAATACAGGGGACCCAGACGGCTCTGCCACCACAGGAGAAAGATGTAAGGAAATGTGGGATTCTGAATAACCACAAAGAGACACATCCACTAACCAGGAACATAATGTGTTTGCAGCATGAACTGGAAATAATATTATCTTCTGGACATCTGCTCATTATAGCAACTAGAGTTATGACTCAAAATAACACTTTTCTCCCCACATCTACTTAGGAAACTATTTCCGCCCCCCCCATTAAAATCCAGCTCATGAGTCTTTCAGACAGATAGTGATGGTCATGCATCTTGTGATGTATCTCCTTTATTGAAATTCTAGCTGTACTTGCCTTCTCGACTAGATAGTGACTTATACAGAAAAAGGGTTAGGTTTCAATTCTCCATGTATTATTAGTACCTAGCACAGAGCCTGACATCTAATAGATACTCAACACAAGTTGCTTAACATTTATATAAATGAAGACTTAAATTACTTTATTGCCACCCTTGAAATGATCAAGGTATCCTCTAATCCAATCTTTGAATTTCACAAATATTTCCCAAAGTTGGAGAAGTCAACATACAGATTTAATACTGCGAAGTCACTAGGTGAATTAGGACCAGAACTGAGGCCCTTCCTTACTCTCCCCAGTTTAGCACTCCACTCATGGGTTAGTCCTGTGAACATATTCACCACAGTATGAGTCTTCTACAAGAATTGACTGATTACTAATTTTTAAAAGTTTAAGAGTCAATTCAGTTAGCAGAGATTATGTATGTCGTTTTAAGTAACACCTTGGTGTGTGTGAGGAGGGTGAGGGGAGAATCAGTCTTCCAAACTCTTTAAACTTGTTTCAGTAATGAAGTTTCAAAGAATGAAACCATCATCTTGGCTAATGTAGCAGTGGTCCATGAGCTACTAGCACAATTATAACTCAGAGAAAAGTTTTAAAACACAAAGACTGCAAGTAGTATGCTGGTCTTGGTTATTTTGCATTAGTTATGTCAAAATAAAGGAGCATTCTGTGCATAAAATGTATAGAAAATGTGAGAGTAGGGGGAAAGGATGGAAAAAGAGTGTGCCCTTACAGGGTCAAGCAGAAAACCATGGTTATGAAGTTTGGAATAAAGCTGGGATTCAGAGAGACAAACAGACTCCCCAAAAGCAATTTAGGGAGGAGTTATGATGTCAGTTTGAGGACTAAGGTGTGTCTGACTCAGGCCATGGTCTTTCTGATCACTTGCTATGCATCTGAGAGCTGGACAGTGAATAAGGATGACAGAAAAAGAATCGATGCCTTTAAGCTGTGGTGTTGAAGAGCACTGAACATCTCATGGACAGCCAAGAAACAAACAGATATGTCTTGGAGAAGACACAGCCAGAGTACTCTTTGGAGGCAAGAGTGAGGAGGCTTTCCTTCACATACTTTGGGCATGTTGCTAGGAGGGGCTATTCCTTTAGAGAGGGACATGATGCTGGGAACGGTGGAGGGTTGGTGAAGGAGAGGAAGACCCTCGGCCAGGTGGATTGACACAGTGACTGCTGCAATGGGCTCAAGAGAGTCAGGAAGTGTGAAGATGATGCAGGATAGGAGGGGTTCAGATCTTTTGTTTGTAGGGTTGTACTATGAGTTGTACTCAGCTGGACAGCCCCTAATAACACCTCCAAGGATAACAGTGGAATAATCTTGATGGCCATTATAACCAAATCTAGAGGAAAGTGGTCTAGGGGCAAAGTAGCAGACAACATTGATGCTCCACCCAAATCTCCTCAAACTTCCTTTTACACTTTTTATGTGACTCTAACATTGATGTGCCTTTGCTTCCAACATCAAGTACTTGTGCTTTTTCTTTTTTTTTTTTTTTTAGGACTATCTCTTGTTCCTTACATTTAGATAACTCTTGTTATCAGAGGCTGTTCTGCCTACTACAGAAGGCCTAACTCCCTTCTATCAGATGAAGACAGCTCAGAGGAATGACCAACTTCTACTCCAAAATTTCTCTACAGAGTAAGACTGAAGTGATCTTGAAGGACATTTTCTTGGATCACAGAGCATCTCCTCCTCCCATAGCCTATTTCCCCTATTTTCATGCTGATTTTTACTGCTAACATTTTCTTAGTAAATCATTTACATTAAGTCCTCTGAGGGTCAGCTTTTGGACAGTCTCTGCTCTGCATCATTGCCGACCTCAGATTCTGCCTCTCCAGCTTCATCCCCACTTTCCCAATCTCCTGCCATCCTACAGTTCAGTCCTGGGACAATCTGTCCATTTTCTGAATTAGAATCACTGGGTGTTGGAGATGGTTAATGTACTTGGCTGTTAACCAAAAGTTAGGTGTTTTGGGTCACCTCCAAAGAAATACCTGGCAGTCTACTTCTAAAAATCAGTACTTGAAAAATCATAGGGAACACCCTGGTTTCTGCTCTCACACACAGAGGGTTGTTGTGACCTATAATTGATGCAACAGAAATGAGGTTAGTTTTTTCAAAAAATTTGTTTCTGAAATGCCAATATGTTACATTTTGCATGTTATTTATGTTTTTCACGTATCATTCACTTGTCTACATTGTTACACCTCCCCCCATCCCTGGAAAACCTTTTTTAAGAAAGACAAATTGTTGCGTGACATTTGCTCCGGAATGTCCTTTTATTCTTGGATCATTTTGAAACTAAAAATAACTTTCGAATTAGCACCAATAACCACATCTACCTCAAAGCATCAGGATGAAGCTTAAATGCATTAATACATGCAAAGCCCTTAAATCATGCTTGATATATAATAAGGGCTTAATCAGTGTTAGGTGTTAGTATTATCAGTGACGAGATTATCACATTAATTATATTTTGTGCCTAAGTGTTTGTTTACCCACTTGGAAGCCCTTCAAGGGCAAGGACCACAGCTGAGCTCAGCACGGTGATTAACACAGAGTTGATACCTAATTAAATTTGCTAAATAGTGTTTATGGGCTGGTAGACTTAATATTATTGTAAGGATGTCAACTCTCCTAAAATTTATCTATAGATTGAGTACGATCTGATTCAAATCCCAACATGTTATATATAGTATCAATGGTTCTAGTGGCATGGTCTAAAGGCACTTAGGTTGCTAACTTAAAGACTACACATCCCTGGTTCAAATCTATGAGCAGTACCTTAAGAGAGAGATGGACAAACAATCTGTCATATAATCTACCGCCTCAGAAACCTGCTGGATGAGCAACTATGAGTCAGTTCGGACTTGATGGCAATAAGTGTTCAGTCATATAATGTTGACAAACTGATTCTAAAATTTGGACAGACATGCCAAAGGGCCTAGAATATCCAAGGCAGTCTTGAAAAATAAATGCCGAGTTGTGAACTTAAACGGCCAGATATCTAGACTTAATGCAGATAAGTAAATGAAACTAGAATACTATTGTAAGGAAAGAAAAATAGGTCAGTTGAACAGATTGGAACCCAGAAAAAAAATCTCCACAAATACATGGGAAAAGTGAATTTATGATAAAGGTGGCACCGCAGTATTTTCTTTTCACTATCTTTGCAATAAATGGTTCTAGGACAACTAGACAACCTCTTAGAAATAGGTGGCTTCTGACCCTTACCTAACATCACACTCAAAATAAATTTGAGATAAAATGTAAAGCTAAGTGTAAAAATCGTTAAGTGCTTAGAAGGTAACACAGGGCAATATGTTAATGACTTTGGGGTAGGAAAGCCCATTTTAAAAAATTAAACTGCATTTTTTTCCAAAAAACATTGACAGTACGTGCACCAATATCCAAAGAGGCATTATTCTCCATTGCAAGAACAGGGAAACAGCCCTGATGCCTAGCCACTGTCAAATGGATTGAGAAATCATGATACATTTACAATGGAATACTATGCAGCACTCAGGAGTAATGATTTTGTAAATTACTAACTTGGGAGGGATTGGAGAGCATTATGCTGAGTGAACTAACTCAGTTTCACAAGGACAAATATTGTATAAAACCATTATTGTAGGATGAATGAGTATGAGAATCTAAGAGGAGGGAGGGTGGAAGAGAGGGCTGAGGATGGGGGCTGTTAATCATAGAGTCACACATTTTTATAGGGAGGGGTGGGGGGCAGTGAAGGAAATGGGAAAGATTTGGTGTGAAAAACAATGTATTCAAACTTAGCAAATAAACCAGGATTTTTAAAAAAACCAACCAACCAAACACCAAAACATTGACAGTAAGGGAAAAATACATAAACTGAATTATAATAAACTTTTGCTAACGAAGCCAGAGAATGCAAGAAGACACTTTAAATCCATAAACCAACGGTTGACTTCTATCCAGAATATATAATGAACTTTTTCAGATCAATAAAAAAAAGACAGAAAATCCAATAGGGAAATAAAGAAACAAAATCAAGCAGAGGACTGGAACTAATAATTCATCAAAGATGATATCATAATGTCAAGTAAAC